GTAAATAACTCAGAAGAAACAATATGAAGACTGTATACCAATTGAGGGATTCAAATTTTTTTACTACCTGTTCTGTGGACATGGCTTGGTGGATGTGGCATGATTTGGTGGGTGTGGCTTGGTGGGCATGGCTTGGTGGGTATGACAGGGGATAAATACTGTAAAATCTCCACTCTCTCTTGATCAGCTGGGACTTGGGAGGCAGAGAATAGATGGGGCGGGGCCAGTCAAAGTTCTCTGAAATACTCAAATTTTTCTCCAGAACTGATCAGAACTTGTTGAATATCACCTGTGCTGTATACACTGGAGCTTTCTTTAAGATACAAGCAATACCAGGTAGGCTTGAAGGGAGAGGCTATTTTATGTTCCATTACTACTTAGATTTCAGCATCGATGTGGTTGCATTTCAAAATTATCAGTATTTCCCAGATCACTAATTTTGTGCCATAGGACTTCAGTCCTGCCTTCTCTTACTTGAAAGAGAAGCCCTGTGGAAGTAATGAGATGTCTCTCGGAATATTCAAATACTGTGCTGCTATCAATCACTATCTAGTTAAACATATAGACAAACCTGATACCTATGTACAATAAAAACACACACCCCTGCTTCCAAACTAATGTGTATTATGTGCTAATAATATTGTCATACGCATTAAAAAAAGAAAGCAAATATACAACTTAACTTTGCATTGATCAAAGAGCAATTATGACTTTTGAACTTTGTCACTGTGCAAATAAAAAGCACCTTTTGTCAGCAGAAGCAAATAAATATCCAAGCTGCATGTTTCTGGATAAAATGGAAGTCAATTTAGTTGGTTGGCAGCCACCCAGTGTTTGATATAAGATAAGGGACTATAATATTTGTTTTAAATAAACAAATACATTTTACAGTTCTTAGGAAAAAGAAAACTGATGGGAAAGTATTTGTACCTAGAACAGTCAACCTACTAGATAAACATTGTATGAAATAAATTTATTATAACTACTACAGCAGCGACAATGATTGGTTTGCACAACATGCCATGATTAAAGTGCAGAATCTGGGGTTCCAGATTGCACTAATCTTCAACCCACAAATGCAACTTCCTTCCAAATTGTAATGTAGAAAGGGAAAACTATTATGAGAATGAATGAAACTAATTGTAAATTCAATAATAAATGTAATCACGTGTATTATCTTGTCCTGGCCAAGGATATCTGCACGGGGAGTTAGAAAAGTCAAGAGAGCAGCTATGATGACATATGTGTATGTGCCAGACATATAAATAATAGTTGGACATTCAATCATGCAGGAAACAAGTTGACTTTGTTTAAAAAGCTCCATCCAACAAACAATAATAAAGCATTAAAACTATATTGTATTTGGCAATGATAAGTATCGGATTCATGTACCATAAGCATGTCATTACATGTTGCAGTAGCCCATTTTCATTATGATGTTGTGGAAGTCATGTTCCAAGCACATAGCCTAAATCATATCTTATGCACTTGTTGTAATTTGACAAGTTTATTCATAAACTTTTCCTAATTGGACAATGCACTTTTATTTTTTTTTATTTTTTTTATGAATAACTCCAGGTAGCGAACATATCCAACACATCTTACTCCTCATATTTGTAATTTAATTAAGTTGGATTAATATAGATGGATAGAATAACTTTATTGTAACTTTAAATGTACACTGATCGGCCTACATTGAAATGAAATGTCATTGCATACAGATCTCAGAGGGTCACCATCTCCAATATACACTACATAAACATGACTGAATAAATAAATAATACAAAATTATCATATATCCACATATTTTATATGATACAGAGAAACAACACAGTCTAGTTCGGATGTATACATGTACATGTCGAGAAAAACGAATCTTGCGAGTTTATCAAATGAATGATAAAGCTATTACAGGACCTGGTTTGAGATTGTTTCTTCAAAACTAGCACTATACAAAATTAGAAAATAATTAACTTTCAGTACTAAACATTCACAAAACAATTTAGCATTTAATACTATATTCATACTTTTTTGGCTAATCAGTTAATTGGATAAAAAAATTAAATGACTTTTAATAGTTTTATTTTTTCAATAGCCACAAGAGGGCATAGTTGTCTTCACCTACAGTCTACACGTAATTTTTTTCTTCCTTCCTTCCTGGTATAATGAATCAATTTATTGGAATACAGCACAAGAAAAAAATAATGTAAATACCACCGGTAGCCTCCCATCGTCCAGTGCGACCCCACAGAGTAGGCCTCCTCAGGGTGCCGTCGGCCAAACAGTGTCGACTGGTGACCCCCAGGGGGAGAGCCTTCTCTGTGGGAGCGTCTTCCCTCTGGAATGAGCTGCCCCGGGCGCTTCGTATAA